GTGTGTGTTATTTTAGATTTTATGTGTCATTTGATCTGATTTGCTAGCTTATTTTTTGGGTGTGAGAATGCTCAGAAATTTTCCCATATAAATTAATGGTAACTGCTTCTTCACTTTATGCCATTTCGGCTTACAAAAGAGTTTTATGAGAAATGTTCTACTTTTGGATAGTGAGGGAAACCTGAATTTGGGTAGTTTCTCATCAAATGCTCCTGTATCTTGGTCTGTTTGGTCTATCTACTCTAACCTATGGTCTATTTGTCTATCCTAAGCAAACAGCACAGTCTTACTGTAGTAGCGTTATAGTAAGTCCCAATATCCTGTATACTAAGTCTTTCTTTTCCACTTTAATCTTCTTCAGGTTACCGTGGTACTTTATATTCCCATATAAATTTAAAAATTATCTTGTCAAGTTCTATGAAAAATTTTTTTCGGACGCTTACTGCAGTGAAACTTAGGTCAACATAGGGAGAAATGACATCTTAATTTTTAATTCTAATAACTCATTGGCAATTTTGAGGGGATTTGTATGTATGCAATCATATCAACTGTTAAAAATGACAAAAGGATCTTTAGATAGTTGGCAAAGTGTTTGAGACTGAATAAGTGATAAGCACATTGAAAATAAAGCACTTTAGTTACTTGTGAATGCAAAGGAAAACAAAAGGTCATTCTAGAAAAGCAAAATAACCATGATAAACTATTTAATAGTACTTACGTGGCCATGATCCTATAGCAATGAATACTAATCTAACCAAAATTTCCATATTGGGATGAGGAGACAGAAAGTGTGTGTGTGTGTGTGTGTGTGTAGTGATGAAAGGTAAATCATAATCTCTCAGTATGAAATTCACAATGTTCAAGCGAAACATGAAGTAGCAGTAAAAATGTTTAGAAATACCGAAATTGTAGAACTACATTACTATATTCACTCAAGAAAAAAATAGACATAATCCCATGATATTCCTATTATGTCCTATTTCCCAGATACTTAAAAACACATACTAGATTTCCATCACTGTAGTAAACATAATTTCTGATAGTAATTATATCAAAACATTTCATACTACTTAAGGGAAATTATAAATAATTTTATTCCATTCCAATTCTATCAGTATAAAGGTTGGATATTCAGATTTAGGGAGACTGTAGAAGAAGAAAAGATAAAAAAATAGATCAACATTTTGCATCCAATTATAAAGACAATATAAAGATGGTATTTACATATTTAATAAAGTTTATACTCAATTCACCTAAGCAAATAACAGTATCTTTACCTATTAAATAAATGATACAAACTTCAAATATTAAACATGTTGGTTTTAAATAGAGCAGTACATGATTTTAAATCAGATAAAAACAAATAACTTTTCCCCATTAGGCTATTAACAAATTCCTTGTAGTAATCTGACAGGCCAAGAGAGAGTGGAATGATATATTCAAAATACTGAAAGATAAGAATTGCCAATCAAGAATAACCTATCTAGCAAAGTTAACTTTCAGATATGATGCAAAAATAAAGTCTTTCCCTGAAAAACAAAAATGAATAATCAGAATATTAAAAAAAAAAACCTCTACGTACCCTGAAGTTATTATTAAAGATCTTTTTAAAAAGATGTTTACCATAAGTGTGAAAATTTATTTTTTATATATAAAGAAAACAATATCTTATGAACAATTCAAATATTTAAACATCATCACATTAACAACATTTACACCTAGAAGCAGCAGCCATTTTTTAGAAAGGCCTGATATTAAAAAAAAAATGCTTACCTTAATGCACGACTGAGTTTTTCATAGTTCATTGTAGGTTTATTTTTACGTTGTCCCCATTTTTGTGCAACTAGTTCAGGCTGATTTAGCTTAAACTCGCCTTCATCGCCAACCCAAGAAATGCAGTCTCGAGCATCCTTGTCCGTAAGAAGTTCTAGCAAAAACTGCCAGAGTTGGATTTGGCCATTGTTTCCTAAATCGACAGGGACAAACATTGACCACAGCGTTATGAATTAACAGAGGGCAAAAGGTAACAAATAGGTTCTCTGGTTCATATCTCAGCCATGCTAAAATCATAAATGTTTTTTCAAATGCTGTCTAAGTACTGCCAGAGAAATAGTCCACAAATTTTCACACAGTGAAATAAAACAAAATATATATAATCTGACAAATTTTATAAATACCAGATGATAATGCAAAAATACCTGTTCTATTCCCAGGTGAACTTCTATCTTCTCCTGAAATCCTTGGAGCTCTCTGTACTTTAGCTGCCTTTGCACTACTGTTTATACCTTTAATGGTAGTTGGTGTAGCAGACTGCACTGATGCTGGAATAATTTGCACAGCTGCAAAGACAGACAAGGGGAAAAATTTGTTTCCTTTCTAATACAAGCAGTGAAAAAACTACTAAAAGACAAAACGCAATTAGTTTAACTAATGCCCAACAAAAGGCCTCATTTCAAAAAGCCTTAATCCACAACGGTTTTGAACAAAACTACAAAAAAAGTTCAGAGGATAAGGTCTGATGTTTGCATTACAGTTTGTAATCTAGTGAATAAGAGTTGGTCTTCTAATTTTTGAAATAACTTAGTGGTGTATATACATTAGACAGTTATAAAATACTTGCTCATTAAAAATGGTTTATTAAGTGCTGGAGAAAATGTGGACAAATAAGAATTTATATTCCACTACTAATGAGAGTACAAACTCATACCATCACTTTGAGAAAAAAAACTTTGGTACTACCTAGTAAAATTAAAAAGGTAGAAACCCTATACTACTATATCCAGAGAATCTCATACACATTTTGACACATACTCATTCGATGATGTTCTCAAAGTTTTAAAAATAATATACAATAGTGAAAATGAACGAAATTGAACTTGAGTATCAATGTCGGTAAGTTTCATAAATTTTAAACAAAAAAACAAGTTATAAAAGGACATGCATAGCATAATATTTTATCCAAAAGGTTTAAACAGGTAAAACAATGCTATGGTGCTTATGGTTCTCCATAGTTGGTAAAAAAAATAAAATATGCATAAAATGAACAATATCAAATTTAGGATCTACGACAGGTAAATTTTATAAAGTTTTATTTCTTAATAGTGCATGGTGTTATAGTGTACACGGGTGTTGGTTATACTTTATTTCTTTATATATTTAAAATACTTCATAAAAAATTTAAAAATTAGTTTTCCTTTTTGCTACCTTGCAGCACTGAATAAAGGAAACATTTCTTATTGATAAATAGGCCATATATTATGGATATGAATACTCACGTTGATCAATTGTAACTATCTCATTCATCTGTTGTTCTTGGCTTGCCAATACATCTGAAGAACACATAAAAATTTCTGTTTTCATTTAAAACCAGAAATGCAAACCCCAATCCAGTATAATTGAACTTAAAAAACATGATCCTTTTAAAGGAAACTCCACAATTAAAACCAAAACCAAACAAAAAAGCAAAACATAAAACAACTGAAATTTATTGGCATGATAACCTAAAAAAATTTCTATAGTCACTTCACAAGGAACAGATATTTTCAAGAGAAATAACAGAGTGGAAAACTCCAATTTCTTTTAGAGTTCATTATTCAGAGAATCATAGTTTTCTAAATGTAAATACTTAGATCTAAATATCTACATAAAACCAAAACATGGAAATCTTCCAGATCAGATATATGAATATAAACCACACTGCAATTATTTAGATATTCTTCACCAAAAAGGCTCCCTCATGATAATCTGAGAAATCTTCATAATTTACAAATCTGTTCTAATATCTACTTCTGAAAAAAACTGCTTTAACTTTATAATGTCCCTTAAAGACAGCTAAATTTTCAATAAAACTGTAGCTGTCTTACAACATGTATACAAATATAGCTCTCAATATAAGAGTTACATTGTCAAAGTCCCTAATGTAATCCTTTAGAGATTCATTCATTACTCCTCTATTACTATTCCCTATTCAAATGCTACTTTTTACTTCTCAAAAAAGAGGTATATTTCCCATTTTCCATTACTCTAGGCTACTTATTGCCATCATTGTGTGGATGGTTTTTTTTTTGAAACTGAAATGATACCTATCAGCAATCATCTGTGTACCGAGTGAGTCCTGGCACCAGCACTTCCAACACAGTTCTACTTAGGGTACCACGCTGGGATCCAGTCCCTGACACACAGGGCTGGGTAACTAAAAAGAGGTCTGACTCCTACTTGTCAGACGAGAGCTTTCTTTGGGGTTTCTGAGCATGGAGGTTTAAATGATTATATGGGACTAGTCTCAGAAAATTCTAGGTTCTGATCTGAATACTCATTTACTGGTTGTGTGGCTTTGGTAAATTATCCAACCAACCCGAACATTAGCTTCCTCATGTTGAAATCAGATATCCTCCACCTATCGCCTCATGAGGTTGTTGTGGAGACTAAAAGAATATGTTCTTAGGAAGTGCAGTGCCTGAGACACAGTTAACTTTTCAGTAAACTGAAGATGCCACTGTTTTATTCAGATTCCAAGTTCTGAGCATTCTCCCCAAGAACCGTTGTTTCTCTTGAAGAAAAATTCATGCCTTATGTTTGTGGTAGATTTCTCCTTAAAATTTTATAAAAGTACCTTGATGAGGCAAAGTGCTATTGAAATTGTTCCATTTGTGATTATAAATGAAGGTGCCATACCCTAAAAAGAGGCAAAGAGAGTCACCATCACACCACACAGGTGTGACCAACCTATAAGATCAGCTTTTAAGCCCAGACTCTCAGAAAGGGTTGGTCTGTTTCCTAGAAACTCTCAAGATAGAAGGTGCAACACCTTCTACCTTCTAGAAAGAGAGGGGTTTTTGAAAGCTTGGTCTAAAACCATACAGGCATTGTAAATGATCACATTCCTCTGTAGCCCTCCAATCCTGGCCATGCATGGAGGAAGCAGAATCCTAAGAGGCAAAGCTCTGGGGAATGTGGAGCCATTTTATGAAGAAATTTCAGATACTAAAGGTATAAGGCAATTCTTTTCCTAAAGCAAACCCTCAGCAAACTGAGAGCTATACCTTTGGTGACAGAAGACAGATGTTTACACCAAGAGGCACATTATAAAGCTGGTAATACTGAAACATTTCCTAATTATCTCTCCGTGTAGGAGTAGGATATGGATGAAGTTTCAACACAAGGGAAGGTGGTGGCTCGGTAGGTAATCTAACACAAATATCTAAGTTTTCCTTGATAGGTCATTAAGGAGGAAGAGATAAGACATGCAGGACTAATAACTACCTTTCAGAGATATGCTGTAGACTTCATTCTACGAGAGAGGCAAGAGTACTAGACTGTGCTCAAAGGAGCCTGTTCTGAGAAGTCAGGATTGTGCATTCTGGAAAGTCTGCCTGGCACAACCTTACACATCATTTTGCCCATTAACAAATTCTGAACTGAGCATTAGATTTCCAAACCAGATGAGATTGCGTTGCCAGGGCACAGCAGAGAACCACAGCCAGACAAGCAAAGAATTCTCTGAAACATTTACCTAGGCTGTGGGCTTTGTTACTTTCGAAAATAAAACAATTCCAGAGCAGAGCTTTTCTGAAGAAGACCCATTCTACTGCCAA